CTCAAACCATCAGAGCCATCTGACCACAGAACACTTTTCCGCTTTTCTTGAGTCCATTTTAAATTTGCTTTAGCTTAGTGAAGACAATGGCATTTCTTGATCATGTTCGCATATGGCTTCTTCTTCGGATGACAGATCTTTGACCTGCGTTTGTGGATGGCACAGTGAACTGTGTTCACAGTAAATGATTTCTGGAAATGTTCCTGAGCCCGTGCAGTGATTTCCATGACAGAATCATAGCTGTTTTTAATGCAGTGTTGCCTGATCATCACAGGCAACCAGTACTGAATTTTAGGCTTATCTCTTGCTCTGACAGATTTCCCCAGATTCCCTGAATCTTATAATGAAAGGAACATTCTGAAAATGTTCCAAAATTTGTAGATGCAGTTTTTTTGTAGACAGGTGAACCTCTGAAGCTATTCACAGCTTTTAGCGAATTTGCTGTAAAACTGAATGCCTGTGGAAAGCCACAAAACTTGAGGTTCATAAGCTCCACTTAAAAGAAGTATTATCTACCTTCAACAACATGGTGAAAGATGCGAGAGCCACTTATTTCTCTAAACTACTCGCAGCAGGGAAAAGAAAAAACATAGTAAATAACATAGTGCCCCCCCCCAACTCCGTGTGTACCTGCCTTTTCAGATAAGGGCTGCAATGACTTTCTAAGATTTTTCCAAGGTGAAATCAGTAACCTAAGAGGAAACATAGCTCCCTCGGATAGTCCTTTCAACCATGATCTTCCACACCCTGTAATTATGGAATCCTTTCACCCAGTTTCTGTAGAAGACCTATCAGAAATAGTGACCCAAATGAAACCCTCAATGAGTCCAGTTGATGTCCTACCTACTTCGTCATTTTGCAAAGTTTTTGACACCATTGAGCCCTCTGTGGTCACACTGATAAACTGTTTTCTGCTGTCTGGCTCTGTCCCCAGGTGCTTTAAACAGGGTGTTATTCAACCTCTGCTGAAAAAGCCGAACCTGGATTCGACTCTTCAGTCAAGCTACAGACCCATCTCAAAACGTCCTTTCATTTCTAAAATATTAGAAAAAGTCGTTTGGTCCCAAGTAAAAAAGGCACTGGAGAAACATAGCATTCTTGATAACTGAAGGTTATCAAGAATGCTATGTTTCTCCAAGTAAAAAAGGCACTGGAGAAACATAGCATTCTTGATAACCTTCAGTCATGATTTAGAAAATCACACTACACAGAAACTGCTCTCCTCAAAGTCACAAATGACCTTTTGATGGCCGCGGACAGAGGTGATTGCTCAGTCCTCGTCCTATTGGACCTTAGCTCGGCCTTTGATACCGTTGATCATCAGATCCTAATCCACCGCTTAAATCACATGGTAGGGATATCTGGATCTGTTCTGAAATGGCTCACCTCATTTCTGACAGAAAGAACAATCTTAGTTTCAGTGGGAAACTTTCGCTCAGCTGTTGCTAAATTGTCATGAGGAGTGCCGCAAGGTTCGGTTGTAAGCCCCCTATTGTTTTCTTTATATATCCTTCCTTTAGGTCATATCCTATATCCTATATTAGCAGCTTCAAAATTATTTCCTACAACCTGTATGCAGATGATATCCAATTATACATCTCATTTAAACCCTGGGAATTCGACAAATTATCCACTCTAATGACTGTCTTAAAGAGATTAATGGTTGGATGACAAACAATTTCTTGCAGATGAATGCAGACAAGACTGAGTGTTTGATTTTTTATTTATTTTTTTGCCTGTCCCATTTTGTTCTTTAGCCATCAGAATTGTTGTCTGAAGACCAACATGGATACCCAGTGGATTTACTTTGCCAAACGGATCACCACGGCTCATCATCCAGGCTCCAGACACCCAGAGGCCCCAGAGTGCGAGAGCCCAAGGAGGACCACCGGAGGGGCATCCGTGCCACCCTCCTGGAAAGAGCTGAGGAGAGCCCCAGATGAGAGGTCACCCAGTAGCCACGGAGAAGAAGCCAGAGGGGGCTGCAGTGGCGTGCACGCCGGCTCTGCCAGCAGCCAGCTGTGCCAGAGTGAACTGAGCCGCAGGCCCGGAGGCCCGAGGGCCCCTTTTGCCCCGGAAGAGGCCTGACCGAGCAACAGGCACCAGGCCCCGCCAAGAGTGTTTAATTTTTGCCCCAGAGAGCATCAAGTCCCAAATTAGTCCACGTCTGGGTCCTTTCTCATCCTCAATAAAAGCTACCGCTCGGAATCTTGGGATCATTTTTGATCAATCTCTGTCTTTTGACGCTCATATCAAGTCCTTGACCCGCTCCTGTTTTTTTCATCTAAGAAACATTGCCAAACTCAAGGCTATTGTATCCAAAGGTGAATAGGAGATGCTTGTCCATGCTTTCATCTCCTCTCATTTAGATTACTGTAACGCACTCTTTTCTTGTCTAAGGCTTCCCTCAATTGCCTCCAAGTGGTCCAAAATGCCACAGCAAGGCTTTTATCCCACAGTCATAAATTCGCCCATATCACCCCTGTGTTAAAATACTTGCACTCGCTTCCGGTTGAGTATAGATATCAGTTTAAAATCCTTACTTTTACATTCATGTCCCTACAAGGTGAGGCTCCCAATTATATCAGAGCTTCTCCAACCCTATTCTCCAAACCGGATCCTTAGATGAACTGATAGTTGTCTTCTAACCATTCCACGGACCCGTTTGAAAACGAAGGGGGATCGCGCTTTTCAAGCCTTGATTCCAATATTATGGAACAGTTTACCTCGCCCACTACGCACCATCAACTCTGTAGCTACTTTTAAAAAACAGCTCGAAACACATTAGTTTAGACAGGCATTTAGGTAATATTCATGTGTAGCAAGCTGTTTTATTGGATGTGCTACTATACCCTATTTATATAGGGAGTGCAGAATTATTAGGCAAGTTGTATTTTTGAGGAATAATTTTATTATTGAACAACAACCATGTTCTCAATGAACCCAAAAAACTCATTAATATCAAAGCTGAATGTTTTTGGAAGTAGTTTTTAGTTTGTTTTTAGTTTTAGCTATTTTAGGGGGATATCTGTGTGTGCAGGTGACTATTACTGTGCATAATTATTAGGCAACTTAACAAAAAACAAATATATACCCATTTCAATTATTTATTTTTACCAGTGAAACCAATATAACATCTCCACATTCACAAATATACATTTCTGACATTCAAAAACAAAACAAAAACAAATCAGCGACCAATATAGCCACCTTTCTTTGCAAGGACACTCAAAAGCCTGCCATCCATGGATTCTGTCAGTGTTTTGATCTGTTCACCATCAACATTGCGTGCAGCAGCAACCACAGCCTCCCAGACACTGTTCAGAGAGGTGTACTGTTTTCCCTCCTTGTAAATCTCACATTTGATGATGGACCACAGGTTCTCAATGGGGTTCAGATCAGGTGAACAAGGAGGCCATGTCATTAGTTTTTCTTCTTTTATACCCTTTCTTGCCAGCCACGCTGTGGAGTACTTGGACGCGTGTGATGGAGCATTGTCCTGCATGAAAATCATGTTTTTCTTGAAGGATGCAGACTTCTTCCTGTACCACTGCTTGAAGAAGGTGTCTTCCAGAAACTGGCAGTAGGACTGGGAGTTGAGCTTGACTCCATCCTCAACCCGAAAAGGCCCCACAAGCTCATCTTTGATGATACCAGCCCAAACCAGTACTCCACCTCCACCTTGCTGGCGTCTGAGTCGGACTGGAGCTCTCTGCCCTTTACCAATCCAGCCACGGGCCCATCCATCTGGCCCATCAAGACTCACTCTCATTTCATCAGTCCATAAAACCTTAGAAAAACCAGTCTTGAGATATTTCTTGGCCCAGTCTTGACGTTTCAGCTTGTGTGTCTTGTTCAGTGGTGGTCGTCTTTCAGCCTTTCTTACCTTGGCCATGTCTCTGAGTATTGCACACCTTGTGCTTTTGGGCACTCCAGTGATGTTGCAGCTCTGAAATATGGCCAAACTGGTGGCAAGTGGCATCTTGGCAGCTGCACGCTTGACTTTTCTCAGTTCATGGGCAGTTATTTTGCGCCTTGGTTTTTCCACACGCTTCTTGCGACCCTGTTGACTATTTTGAATGAAACGCTTGATTGTTCGATGATCACGCTTCAGAAGCTTTGCAATTTTGAGACTGCTGCATCCCTCTGCAAGATATCTCACTATTTTTGACTTTTCTGAGCCTGTCAAGTCCTTCTTTTGACCCATTTTGCCAAAGGAAAGGAACGTTGCCTAATAATTATGCACACCTGATATAGGGTGTTGATGTCATTAGACCACACCCCTTCTCATTACAGAGATGCACATCACCTAATATGCTTAATTGGTAGTAGGCTTTCGAGCCTATACAGCTTGGAGTAAGACAACATGCATGAAGAGGATGATGTGGACAAAATACTCATTTGCCTAATAATTCTGCACTCCCTGTAGTGTTTTATTGTATCGATTGATATGCTTTTATACCTGTTTTATACCATTTTTATTGTTTTGTTTGATATGCTTTTATTCCCATGTGAAGCACTTTGAAAAAACTTCCAGTTTCAAAAAGCGCTATATAAATAAATGTTACTTACTTTACAAACTCTGCCTCTCTAAGATGCTCTTTTAATTTACTGACCTGTTGTTCCATTGTGAATAAAATATGGGTCATTACGTTGTTTGATCTCATTTTACAGTCCCAACATTTTTGGAACTGTGGCTGTACAAGTCAAAGGCAAACCTCATAATTTATCTGTAAGTATCGGCTCAGTCAAATTATCGTCTTCTGTGAGTTAAAGTTAAAAGTGTTGGTATTGCACACTCCTGTGCGCACAATTTCAAATATCTAATTTCTGTATGTGAATAGTAACTAAAATATAATGACGGTTGAATGTCTGTGGATGTCCAATTTTGCAGAATTTTTCATTTTCCGAAGTGGCTTTAATGAAGAAAAAAGGACCTAATGAATAATAAAAACAAAATCCTTTGCAGAAAAGCTCTCATAAATAAACCATAATTTCTTAATTAAATGCATTTTATTCTGTCACAATTCTGGGATACATAATTTACATTTCTGAAGTTCCCATGCTATTTTGTTATACACCTTTCATTTAATATCTAGTTGTACATTTCACAGGTGGAGCTTGAATGTCAGTGATCTCTGTATTAACCCACAATTTCTGCAGCCTATTTACACTCACACAGGTTTAAGCCTTCAAGGCTAGACACAAATAAAGTTATTATAGGTTTCAGGGCTGTCTAGGTGTGTAAAATTAAAGATGAGAGGAAATGAATTATGTAAGTTAGCTTGTTTCACAGCTATTCTGCTCTGCATGTTGCTACATCTTAATTCTTTCCAGAGGCAATACTGGAATAATGGAATAACTCACACACCAACACACGCACACACCAATGCACACGAACAGCAGGCAGTTTGGTAAAATCGGTTCACTGGTAACAGGAGGCTAATACAATAGGAGAGGATGTAAGGGATTACAGATTGTGTATGCAGATAATGCTGTTAGATGCTAGATAACAGGATGTCTCTGCCTAAATGTTCTGCTTTAGGCGAGAGGCACTGCGTTTTCTTTATATAGCACCAGAATCTGTCATGGCGACAGCTACTCCATCTTCTTCTTTCCTTTTTCTGTCTCTGTATCATTAGGGATGTGCATACCAACCTCTTCTAACCATCCTGCACCTGTTCATCAGCCATCACTATTGAGTTTCCCATTTTTGCTCATCATCTGTTCAAATCTAACTGGATCTGCTTTCTCAGCAATTCCTCGGTAGTAGTGGGTATTTTGAGGCCAGCCTGCATGTTTTATTACTACCTACCTGCTTCAGCCGGGTAAATTTGCTGGTGACTGTAACACTGCACTAGACCTATGGTAGTAAAGGTGTTTGTGAATCTGCTTTTGACTACAAAATCTGTTGTTCCGCCCCCAAGTTAAGTGCTTCGTGTTTTTTTTTTTTTTTTTCATATAATCTGCATGCAGAAATCCAATTAACTTACTCACCTTCATGCTGTGTATGTGCATCATAAGCATGTGTGTCTTAGTGTGCACTCTGGTGTGCTCTTGAGACGGAGGCAGGTACGGGTAGTGAGATATTTGTGTCAGAAAGCAGGGAGATCAATAACATCCTGAAAAGAGAGCAACCTCAGGGATACAATTGCTCCACTTGAAGGGAAAGGAGAGTGGAATACAGAAACTATTGCCTATGTTTATCAAAACAGTGGATTTCAACAGGGGATAGCAATCTATTTTTCAGCACATTTGGTGAAAAAGATACAACACAAACATCTGAAATGTGTGGGGGGGGTTTCACTCAAAAAGAAAATACACATTAAAAATATTTATATCAACAGAAGCATGTCAATTTGGCATAAACCTAACTTTTCTCTGAGTATTGCAAAGTCAGGAACAGGCAGGATTAGACAATAACTCACCACTGGAACCACTGGTCTTTCTTTTTCTTTACTTTGTGCAAAATCGAAACGATTGTTATGCTATTTCATTTTCCCTACTTTATGATTGTCTACAAATGAAAAATAAAATAACATGTCATTGAAACATTCAGCAACCCTGGATCACATGTTAGTGGCTTTGAGTTCACCCATCTCATCCTTTAACCGGTTGCGTTCCCAGCCTTGGCGAATGCGCATGAGCGGACGGTTCACGCAGGGGAGGACGAGGACCAGCTTGAGCACCAGTGTTACCGAAGGAACAATTAGACAGAGCATGGAGTCCGGAGGAGTGTACCATTTATACGTAGATTTGCGAAGGAATTTATCCCAGGCATAAATGTAGCAATGTGCAGTGGAGAGAAAAAGAGTCAGGTAGCCCAGCGTCGACTGTGGGGAAAAAGAAACACACACACACACAATGGTAAAAATTAAAGATTAAATACAAAAGAGTTAAACAAGAAGACGATAAGCTTTCTGTTATCTGTTAAATAAACATGAAACTAGTGTTGAGTTTATTAAGTAGGTAATAAAAATTTTATTTCAAGCATTTTGTGATCAACATCACAAAGTGCTTTAAAATAAACTTACAGAGCATAAAAGCAAAAGTTAATCAAACACAAGTAAAAAATATGGGTTCAGCTTAGCTTAGCAAAAATACTGAAAATGTGTGGAACCTTTGTCCAAAGGTAGAAGGTTTTTTTAAAAAAGCAAATTAACTGGTGAGGTTTAGAGGCGCTCAGTTTTGTTGTGACAGTATTTGCTTTCTCCTTTTGTCATGCTACTCTAAGCTAGGATAAGTCAACTCTAGGCTGGTACGAGCAAATTTACCACACAGACAAACTAATGGTATCAACTGTCTCATCTAACTCTGTGGAAGAAAGAGAATGAGAATGAGCTATCTCCCAAATTACCAAACTATCCTTGGAAATGCTTTATGCTGAATTTAAGACTGACATGCACAGACGCAGACATAATAACAAACAACCTAGTGCATAATGTGCCTCCATTTCCATGTTTTAGCATTTGCAATAAGGGCAAACAGCAGAGAAAGCAAACAGTGCTATTGCTATGGCGCAGTAATAAACTGTGCCCCTGTGTGATGACGATAAGGGATCTTGCACCTACTTGCACCTTATTAAACCAGTGGAGAGCAAATATCATATTACACAGTGTCCTAGCATTTTTGGATATTTGCTGGTATTCAGGGCTTTATATTCCGATGTTGACAACAGTGATCACAACTAGAAGCAAAAAGTAAGCTTATGTAAGCATATTATTGTTATTTCATGTCTTATTTCATAACTCTCCTCACTAGATCATAAGAATTAGTTTGACTTTCACCTCCATCTCTGAGTACCATTCGCTGTCTGAGGTCTATCTATGGACCTGACCTTTACACAAATGGGCCTGTGACCTGTATTAAAAATCTTCTCACTGGAGGATTATACCAGGTATCATAATTCTATTTAATGAATAACTTAACATTTAAAATCCTTGGCTAAAGTCTCTCTGTGTGCCTGTGTTAGGCGGCTAGTTAACTAGGCTCTGGGGAGACAAGTGCCAGTGACATATTGCTATATTGCTTTTACAACACTTTAATAACTGATAAAAATCTAAGAAGTTCTAAATGTAGATTATCTAGAAGGCTCTAAAATATGCCTTTACTGATATGAAACACGTGACTGATAAAGCATGAGAATTTAAAGGTGTGCATGAGAAAATGCACATTCACACACAGCACATACATGTGAAGGACTGTGCATTTTTATCTGCACTGACCTGAACAAAGCTGAACTCTCTCCAGCTGAGAGTGCCTCCAACAGATGGCAAGGATGTTAGCCCCAGCAGGACAAAAAGAAAGAAGCCCAGGATTCCCAGTGCATATAATGAGTCAGTGCGCCATGCGCTGGTATTGTCAAAGTAAAGTGGAGTGGTAGTATTTTTCTTCACCTACAAGGAAGAGAGAAAAGTGGAGGGACTGTTATTGCAGTGAATGTTCTACATGTACATATAAGCTTTATTTAATATTTTTCTTTGTGCAGGATTGCAGAAACACTCCAATCAGTTTGCACCAGCCTGCTGCACTTTACCTCATTCAACACATTGGAGATGACTCTTTGTCTGTCAGAGTAGCGGGCAGGAATGATTAATGTGTAGATAGCATGGAGCAATGCAAAGCCTAGTGCAAGAAGACCCAACTGTTTCCTGCACAGCATCCAGCGATCTAGCCAATTGGGGAAACGCCTGGAACATAGGAAAATGAGTTAGGCACTTTACGCTGCAAAAATCATGCCCTTTTTTTTTTACATTGTACCAGGAATGAAAATGTTTATGTTTGATGCCTGACCTGTACTTGGTCCCTCTGTAGAGCTGAAGGAACCCAGCTATAGCTCCAGGGAGGTAGCAGAGCGACAGCATAATGAGGGACACAACTGGAGTGATCTGACACATGGAAAATAAAAACACAATGAGAAATGTAAAATACCGTTTTACGAGCAACTAAACAAAGAGGAGCATATCTTTACCTTGTTGGCCAGGGATATCATTATGCGGTAGGAGATATCTTCATCATTTTCCACATATGCATAGATGATATCTCTAATGACCAAATACAAGAAAAAGAAGGCAGAGAGGCCGAAAGCCACGTACAAAGGCATCCTCCACTCTGGGAACAGCTGCAGAGGAAAGTCCTCCACCTCTTTAGCAGCTGACAGGGACCCTTTGTCCACAACAGTGAGGCCTAGTTTGGTGGCCATCTCTGCCACATCCCGTTTTGCTTCTCCATTGTTCCCACACAGGTACACCTAGGGCATAAATAGAAATAGTCTATAAATGTGTATTTCTCAAAAGGCATATAGAGCTTGTCACAAATATAAAATTAAAATTTTTTAAAGGTTTGAAAAATTCTCACTAAGCTTTGCACTGCAGGTTTTATCAAAGACTCCTGAAACAGGAATAAATGATGCTTTTGTTGGGGGCTTTTCAGCCGGCAGTCTGGTTCTCTAATGAGTATTAAGGCAGCAGGACAGCATATGTGCGACTGATTCAAAAACCTACACCTTCTGCATTCATGTCTGCAGGCAGGAGAATTTTTACCAGTGCAACAGCGCGGACCATTAATCTGTTCTTAGTCGTTTCTGACCAAAATGGAAGATGATGCGGTTTTAGCTGTCTGTGAAGTTTCATCGTGTCACTAATATTATCTTTTCTTTGCAGTTACAAACTGTATTAGTTGGTAAATTGATGAAAGCAGATTCTAAAATAATAATATGAATGTTAACATTTATTAAAATTTTTCTCTCAACACTTTCTTATGATCTGTGTTTCTATTACTAATAGATGACTCACCTGATTCGAATATCTAGTGAATGACTGCACAGCTACACCTACATTGTGTGTCCACAGAATTACCCCTGTTTTATCTGTCACCCACTGCTCCTTCAGTTTTTTGGGAAGAAGCCCCTGAAAATGTATTACTAGGTAAGCACACGTGCCTACTTTATATACATATGCTGCTCAATATGTAATCCCATTCTAGATCACAGCATGGTGAAGCTTATTACTGCACTCACAGCTCTGTGATAAGACGATTAACTTGTTTGTAAAAGGCGAGAACTAACGAGAGCTAGAGAGTGTGTGACAGAGAGAGAGCAGTTTGACAGGCATATAGGAGAGTCAGTGGGATTGAGCAGTTTTCCCCAGGTGTGTGTGTGTAAGTGGACTGGGCAGCCAGCCATGTCTCCCTACATTACTGCACCAGTAACAGCAGGGGACAGCCGACAGACTAAATCTCCATCTGAATGTAAATGTGACAGAGCCACAGCCCCGCTGTGGATCTAATCAAATTGCTGGCTGGGGAATAGCACACACTTAAAAGCATGAGTGTGTGTGGATATATACTGTAACTACATATGCGCTGATAAAGAAACACACATTCAAACACACACACCCTCTTTTCTCTCACAGCTACCTGTTTTCAAAGAAATAGAACACTGCAGTGGTTTGTGTGTGTGTGTGTGTGTGTGTGTGTGTGTGTGTGTGTGTGTGTGTGTGTGTGTGAGTGTGTGTGTGTGCGTGTGTGTGT